TTGGGCAAAAGGACCTCCAGAGATTCCCTTCAATCTTCTGTGATTCTGTGGTTAGAAGGGCACAACCTGTCCCTTAAGATCTCTGCCATAGCAGTTCGTGCCTTTTTACCTTGAAGTGAGCCAACGTGCTTCTTGCAAACATGGGTTCAAGGTTACGGAGAAGCTGCAGCAAATGCAGTGACTGTGTTGCTTATTTAGCCACGAGTTTCAACGAGAGCTTTTTATGCACCTTCTTGAGGGTCTGCGCAAGACCGTGCTCAAGGTACAGATCAATGTGCTATCTTAAAGCAGTGATATTTAAATAACTTGCAGTCTGGATACTTAAGAAACAACTTTTCTCTTTGCGTTGCAGTACAAAGGCTGCATGAAACTGGATGCTGCGTGTTGCCAAGCCACAGCATGTGCTCAGGAGGTGGCAGTTCTTAGAGAAGGTTCTTAACCTTGCTTTCCAGGGCACAAGTGTAACACATCCTCAAGTCATGTGGCAGAGCTTTTTTATTTTTCCCCTAATAGGACTATTTTGGGAAAATGGGCTAGAGAGTCCTAGATTAGCTTTAGTATTTTGGACACTAGTCCTACTTTTGTGCATGCACACAGATGAATTTATCTTTAAGTTTTGATACAAATGCAGTAGCTAGAGCTTTAGAAGCACTGGGTAAACAACAGCCTGGCTGAACATCTCCCAAGAATAAAGGACTCCAAGCTGGCAATGGAGTGCTTAACAGGAGCTACTGTCTGGAATCTAAAGCCAGACGCATTCAAAGTAGAAATCAAGTACAGATTTGTAATGGAGAGGGTGATTAAGCACTGTAATGAACTAGAATGGATGGATCCTTGGTCTCTTGCTGGTTTTGAGGCAAGATGTCCTCTGGACATAAATTAAGCCAGGTTAGTAGGTTTGTTTTACTTCATGTTGGCCTCAGTGTAGAGAAGGTGAAGCAGATGAAATATAACAGCCCATGTTTATAGACATGTGCACACACACAGAGTCCAGCCAGAAGACTTTATGATTCTTACCGACCTCAATCTGTACATTAAGTCAAAGACTTAAATTTCAGAGTGTTTTTTGTTACTTCTGGGAGTGTATTGGTTTGTAATTATGCATGGGGTTAGGAATCTGACTTTATTGTGAATTCAGCAGTGGTAGTACCTCATTCTCAGGGCTGATCTTCACTACCTAAGGCACCAGGTTTATCAGCAAGCTTAAGCTTGGTCGTTCTGCATTTCAGTAGCTGGTAGGGTAATAGTCCTGTTGTAATAGTGGGGCCTGTGTCCTCAAGCAGATACCATGTTCAGCCACTGATAACCATCCTGTGTGGCTTTAAGCCAAGAATTTAGCCCCTCTGTTTATGTTTTACTTGTGACAAAACAGTGATGTTTCTCTTCCCCAAGGACAAAAGCTTTTAATTTGTTATTTGTAAAGCTCATTTTAAGAGCTTACCAAGGAAGATATCAGTGAAATACAAAGTGATGGCATTATTTTTTACTATGTGACTCACTCAGAAATTAAGAGGGAAAATTAATTTCTTTTCCAAAGAAGTGATATCAGCCTCGTCTTTACCAAGTGACTTCCTCCTTGCTTCTGCAGGGCATTGTGGATCAGGGTGAACTATGCTTCAAAACAATTAACTGCATCCAGTGAGAAATGAAGAAAACTGAAGTGGATCACAAGAATGTATTAAAAATCAGAACTAAAATAAGAATGATTTCATGTCAGGCGAGACAAATGCAGAGTTGATACTCCAGTGCTTCACACTTCCACTTGTCCTTGGCACCGAGAAAATGAGATTTTTAATATCTGAAAAACAGATTGCCACGAAGACTCATCCATTGTAAATTTAAGCTGCCTTTATAGCAACTTAAGCTGGGGACAAGATTGTTCATTACATCTGATTCTACAACTGTGGCGATGATTTCCATATTAATATTGAATTTTTTTATTGTCTGTCCGAGAAATAAGAAGGGGAGCTGGTAGTGTTTTCCCAGTGTTAGCAGGTAATTTATTTAATGAATAATGTGAAAGGGCAAAGGTTGGTGAGTTCTTACTTGCATATCAACTACAGATAGTGGTGTTACCTGCCTTTGCTACTCTGAGTACACCTGGTTTTCTGCTGAGAGGAGGCTGAGGGAACAGGGATATAGATTCATGGTTTCAGAGTGGTAGTTATGTTGGTTTGGGTTGATTCTTTTTTTTTTTTTTTTTTTTTTTTTTTTTTTTTTTTTTTTGTTTTTTTTTTTTGGGTTTTTTTTTTTTTTTTTTTTTTTTTTTTTTTTTACTAAAATTAGAGGTGAGGGGGTTGCCTGTTTCCGGTCTGGTAGACCCTTAAATTACAAAAACATTTAAGCAACCTTTACATGTGTATGGGGGCAGGGGAGGTATTTCTGTGCTACTGAACTTTAGACCAGCACTGAGTCAAAGACTGTTTGTAACCCTTTTCAATAGCAGCTGATCTGTTCTGGCATCAGGCGTCGGAAGCACTAGCTATCCCTCCTTTCTGTGCAACTGCATTTGCTTTCACCAGTCCAGCTACCAAAGCAGACAGGAGGATTCCCTGACCTGCCTTACTGCTTGGCTCTGTCTGCAACAGTTTGGGATTGCGTTCAGACATTAATACTGCTGCCTCAACTTTTAACATAGCAAAAATGGAGATTTTCTCCTGTTTTCTCATGAACTCTCTCCTGCTTATTTCTGCCTAAATGCTGTCAACCTCTGTCTGTGCCCACAGATCTGGAGTCTCTTGGAAAAGTTCCTTCTTCCTCCTCTGTTCTCATCCCAGATTTGGTCTAGATCTTAATGGCTCTTCATTTATAACATCTGAGGCCTGTACCATTTTTCTTTTCTTCCATTAGTATCACTAATACCATTGTCCTGCCTTTGTCATCTCGCACCTGAGTTACTGCAGCCTTTTCTTTGGCTCTCTATCTCCTCTCCTCATGCTCTAGTTTTAATACTGTGTTTCATGATGATGGAAAGTGATCTTTTCTTTCCTTTGTGAGTTTTGTTCTTTGCTTCTTCCACACTCCTCATAATGGAAGCAAATCTTTCTCTGAGGAATCCAGTTCTCTATCATTAGCCTCTCTGACCTTTAGAAAGTTTGTATATGTTTAAGTCTAATTTGTTCCTTTTTGGAAAACAAAACAGCTCTGTATTAACCTCAAAATTTGGCAATAAGTCAACAGCATGATCTCATATTTTTTGTGACTGCTTCAGGGAATATGTTTTAAATGCAGTTAAGAGATTTAAGAGTGTTTGGTGTAGAACTATCTTAAAAAGCTTTGGCGTGGCTGACTGTGAGGGACCTGCATATTTGTCTTTTCCATCCATCAGTACTTCGGTTCTACAGTTTCTCTCCCAGGCCACAGTACATGGCCTGGAACAGTCTGCTGTGACCACTCGTCTTGTCTGTGACCTTGCTTTTGGCAACCTCCTTTCCTTGCGAGGAAAAAGGCAACTTGAGATGCAGATGTGGGCCAAATGAATTGTCTGGGAAATGGCAGCAGCTGTCTCTCAGCAGCCTTCCTCCCCCAAGACACCCAGTGCTTTCCTTGGCCACATCTGGGTGGTAGCAGTCCTATGGGGGCAGCCTTCCCCCCCCCCGAGGTGAGCTGGTGCCTGAGGCTGACTGCTGCTACTTCTGGAAAAGCTCAGTCAGCCCAGCCTTTTGCCCTAAAAGTTCCTAAGCTTTTTTCATGAAGGAAAAAAAAAATCCACCTAAATGGTGGTACAGTCTGTGTATGCTCAGTGGGCTCCACCTGGAATAGTTGCAGTTCTTCCCCAAAGCCTCTAGTATAGTGATAGAGGAAAAGTCATGCTACAGTGTCTCGGCCGCTCTTAACCATTGAGAAGAGCCAAGATGTGTCCATCCACCATGCTTGGTTGCTAATATTACAGACAGCTCTTTATGGAGCAGACCAAATTATCCCATGCAAATCCCTGTGCTGCTCTATCGTCTTGTTTTCTATTCCAAGTCACATACACCCATAGCTCACAGCATGAGCTCTCTAGTTCTTTCCGCATCTTCCTGGATATAATATCCTGTCTTTCTCTTTCCCGTTGGTTAATAGTTTGACTTTTGAAGCACTTCAGTCCTTGTTAGTTTGTGGAGATAGACATCAGCAGTGATAGCTAAAGAAAATTCTATTAGGTCATTCCTTTTCAGAACATAGTACCTGTCTTCTAAGCTCTTTGCGGATGTTAGCCAAATAATCCTTTTAATAGCTTTTGTGAGTTAAAAGGGTAGGTAACTGTCATAAGGCTAAATGATTGCATAGATTAATTTACTTGTGGCCAAAAGAAATCGATTGTAATTTAAATTTTTGTCTCTGGACTGATTACACTACCAGACATCAACTTGCTTCTTAGGAATCTACCACGTGCACTGAAGTATCTGTCTGGGATTATATGGGGGTCTGGATTAGTCACAGATTATCCAGAGTAATATGCTTGAACATTTCCATTTTTTAACCTGTGGGTGTACACAAGCTGAGAATACTCACCTGGTTGGCCTTGTTTAGATCTGTGAAGTATCCATGAGTAACTTGAGCCATTACAATCCGTAGGGTGTTTGGATGGAAAAGAATATTTGCCATACTTTTAAGACCATGGGTCCATTGCAAACCATGTCAAAGCTCCTACTGAAGGCAAAGTGTAAAGAAAGAGGCTGAGGCTTTAACAGGCCATTAAAAACAAAACAAAACAAAAAAGCATGATATAAGAAAATTATGTGGTTCTAGGGAGCATTTTTCTAACCCATGGCTATGTTTAGTGATTGGTATACATTCTGTTGCCTTTTAGCAGAGGGATGCATTGGATAATTGGGAAGGATCCTGAAGGCACCTGTCTTTGGTAGTTGGTTTTGGTTTTGTTTTTTTAAACAGGAAGTTATTTTGCATTCCTGTAAGCTGGTTGTGTAATTGTAAGTCAGATAACAAGAAATCAGAATGTATTTGCCTTTTATATAAATCTCTTAACATTCTCATATCTTTTCATTGTGTCTTACAGAATGGTGAATAACACTGAAGACCCTCAAGAGGCTTTATAACGTCCCATCCCCATGTAAAGTATGCTCAGAACTTTTCCAGTAGTGTAAGTACAAGCTAAAAAAACCCCACCAAAATTAAGAGTTGTTTGGTAGTTTGGGCTTTTTTTTTTTGTTTTGTGGTTTTGGTTTGGTTTTTTTTTTCCCCTGTTAATTTGTCTAAAAAGAGCAGAGAAATGGTTGCAGTGATTATCAACAGTTGGCTAAATTGGAGAGTTCCACTGGTTTGGTATTTGTTAAACATTTGAACCAGGGAACAGGAGCATGTAATTCCTCACTTGGTCTGGCTGATGTGTTTTTTCTTCTTTTCTGTCACTGAAAGAGAAGGAAAATCATGCTGTTCTTAGAAATTTAGCCTTGATCACCAAAAAGTTACCGTTAAAAGAGAGGTCTCTGTACATCTACTGGAATACTAGAGGATACCAGAGCTGTGCAAGAGTTTAGCACCACTGCAGACTTGGTGAGAAGCGATTAGTACACCAAAACCGTAATATTACGTAGCAAAGGCAGAAAACCTGGGGCACCTAACCTAACACTAGAATTGGATGAGTTGGTCCAAGCAACTGGTGCAGTATCTGGAATCCCAGTACAAACTGAAGTTGTCCAAATCTCATCCTTGAATTTGAGCCTATTAATTTGTTCTTCCAAATGACTTCTGTCGTGGATCTTCAGTGTAATTGGCATCCATGCTGTTTCTTCAATAAGCAAGCAAATAAATTCAAAATTTGAAGCTTGTGAGGCTTAAAGGAAAGGCTTGACCTGTACTGTACTGTCATCCATCTCTCACTGGCCAGTCCTATATCGTTGTTTCCCATTCCTGTTTTAAAGGTATGACCAAATGCTTGTCCACTGGCAATCAGATTCTTGGGATACTATGACCTCTTTACTTCTGATTGTACCTTCTGTCACACTCAGTTGGAAAGAGAAATCCTGTCTACAGAACAGATAGCAAGAAACTGGACTGCTGTGAATGCAGACAGATTTTCCCAGATGGTTTATTACAAGGATGATCCAGCACATGGACAGTCACAGTACAAGTGGCAGTGCACTCACAGACTTCTGTAGGGGGACTCACAGTGAAAAGTAAGGACTGCCAGAGGTTTTGTGTTGGAAACTAAATTACCAGTGTGTTTGGAAAAGCCTTCTAGATACAACCATTAATTAGTTATTTTCTACTGCTGGTGGCCTAGTCTTCTGTTCAAAACTAGTGGTTTCCTGCTTTGTTGCCAGCCCACCAAGCCACCTCCTCTGCTTTCTTTTAGCTGGAAATATGTTGGATTTCAGTATTAAAATCACCACTTCAAATTGTAAAGATCTAGTTCACAGCAGGAAAGAAGTCTGAAGGTAAGGCTGTATTGCCCTGTGGATCTCTATTATGCTGGTAATTCAGAGATTGCAGTGTTCTTAGAGTTCCTCTGTACTTTGTGTGAGCACAAGGACAGTGTGTCAGCTTTAACTGCGGATCAGACTTTTAACATAAATTTCCAAACTGTGAGTTATATAGTTTTAATTTCCTGTGTTTTAGCTAGATTTCAGTCATGTTCTGCCCCTGTACATTTTCTACCCTGTTAATCAGCTTCCACCCTCCTATCCAAGAATTAGCAGCTTTTTAAATTTATTCCAGTATATGTGCAGTTAATACAGTCATCAAGAATGCAATTGAAGTATAGGTGAATGATTTTTGACTGAGCGAAAGCTGGGGTGAACCTCTCTGAAGGGGATTAGAGAGTATTAAATTAGAGGAAATGGGCGAAGATGACCCACTTAGGTATAAAGTTTCCAGATTAAACCATAGATAACTTTGAAAAAGGGTAAGCAGGCGTCGTGGTTTTGGAAGGGAAAAGAAATAAACAGAGCCTTTTAAAAGGAAAAAAAGTAACTTTTAACTTAAATACTGAATAAGATTAAAGTTGAACAGTCTTAAAACTACCATGGTTAGAGAGTAGTTTGGTTATTTCTACCAAGGGGAAGCATCCTCTGTCAGAAGAGCAAGGTGGGCAGCTGGCTGCAGTTACCATTTCACCTGCTGAATTTTTGTCCACAGTTGAATGAGAGTCAGTGCTTGAGACGAATTTGAAGCATCGTATGAACACAAGACTCTTGATTTTGGTCTCACTAAAATTAGTCATTTATCTGAAAATAGGTCCTCCTGTAGCCAGTGAAAGTAAATCTCTGTTGGGTTCTCCATAATTACTGGCACTTCACAGGCTTATGGCAGTATTGATTAATTAATATGTGTTAATAGTGAGTGTTAATATGGCCATCAGTATTTGTGTTGCATGTGTCAAACTCTCTCTCAAAATACAATTTCTGATAGAATTAGGCAGTTTCAACATAATCACTTAAAGTTTACCTGGGTTATCAGGCTGGTTTATGAATCTTACTGCCAGCAGCAACAGAGCTGTCTTGGGAATGAGTAAAAGCCTGTTGAGTGTAAAGAAAATCAGTGTGAGTAATGCAGATGAAAAAGGACTAGATGGAAGCCTTGTCATCATTTAGGGAAAAACAATGGAAAAAAAGGACCAAGTATGTGAACAATACTGAAGTTGGCACATGCTGACAATCAGACAGTGGAGTTAGTGTCTTAGAAAGGCATTGCCTGGCTGAGCTGTGTTAACTTTCATCCAACTTCCTTGAAATGTGACATGAAACTTGTTAATTAAACTTGGGTGAAAGAGGACTCGGCTAATTTGCTCTTTTTGTCTTGAGTGACAAGGTATCATGTAAATAGTTGTTGTTTTAAGCTTCCTTAACTGAAATAGTACCTTGTCTGAGCCCTTACTTTTACTCAAGATAAACCAGATGAATTAATTTGTGATTTCACAAGCAGCTAAACCGTTCTGAAAGGAACCTGAAAGCGATCTTCTTGCACATGTGCCTCTTATGCCTGCTTATGCTTTTGGCCAGATTGGCTTGTCCTCGTCTGTTGAGTTGGTTAATAGCAATCATCAGAGCCTTCTCTAAGCTCATTCAGCTTGCTAACCCAGGCAGATACTAGCTGTGGGTGGGCTGGTGGTTTGGTTGACTGATTTTCCTCCTGGGTTAGTGAGCTGAACTGGTCTGGTGATTTCCACCAATTCCTGGAGCTATGCAGAAGAGCTGAAGAGCAGGTCATAGGTTGATTCACCATCTCACTTGCATCTTCAGGTGTTCTCCTCCTGCTCTGATCAGGATTTGGACTTGCCCTAAGAATATAGGCTGGGTCTTCTCTGTGTCATGCAAGAGGAAATTTACCTAGTTCAGCCTGGGCTGCACAAAGAGATGCTTGTTGCTTTAAGAGCATTAGTTAGGATGTGCATTTCTTCTTGAAATGCTTTTAAATAAAATAGAACTCTTAATACAGAAGCAAACATAGCCAAAAGCCCATGTTTTTGCCATTATGATATATATACTTCAAGGAGCTGCTGTTATCTATTCCTGAGTTGTTCACAAAGTGTAATCTCTGTCTTCCTAAGACTGTGTGCCAGTAAAACTACACTTGCAAACTCTTTTCTAGTGGGAAAAGAAAAATTGCTTTGTAGTTCAGCACAAAATTAGAGGTAGGTAAGTTTCAGTTATTTTCTGGGTTTGGATTTTAGTTTTCTGAAGTAATAAATTTCTCTCAAGAAAGTGTGTTGTTTGTTACTGCTGGTAATAGATCCTGAGGGAGAAAGACTGTGCCTGAAATACATCAGAATGTCTCTTTTCCTTTATGTATGGAAGAGGTGGGGGAAATGCTGGTGATGACATTGCTTGAAACTTGTCCTACACCGTGTCATATCTGATGCTATAGAAGGACCCTGTAGGATGGATGTATGTGTGGTGAGAAAACCCTCGAAGTCTGGCCAGATGCTTGATTTGCCTTCTTGCAAAATGCTTGTGTGACTTTGAACAAGTAATTTTGACTTGTCTGAAGGCCAGGCTTTTTCTGTGAGCTCTTGGTCTCAAAAATTACCATACTTTTACTTCCCTGCCTTATGGGGGTATTCTGTGGAAAGATGTGTTCAAGTATTTAGACACTCCAGCTAGCTTCTCCTTATAGAGAAGAATTCTGAGCTGCTGGGTTTTAATAAAGGAGTGATTAAATTCTGGAGTGAACTGAGGAGGCAGAAGACTGCAGTATACCTACCCCGTAACCTTGACAGCTGAAAATGTGACTTGCCAGTCTGGTGTCTAGGTTAGACCCATGTCTCAGTTTTATTGCCGCAATGACTGTGTTCTCCACATGTTGGATAACAGCAATATTTTGGTGTGTTGGTGAGATTTGCTTAGCTGTGTAACTCAAGTGCACACAAGTCCTGCCCTGATTCTGTTACAGAGTTTATGTATCCAAAGTTTAGTCTTTGGCTCCCAGATCCAAGAGCTCCTTCTCCGCTCTTGGCACAAGTTTGGGCTTTGGTCCCTGGTTCAGCACTCAGCTGCCACTACAGCTTTTCTCTCTGTTAGTCCTTCTGATCCTTAATTCTGCCCTTGAATCCAGCCTCAGAGTTTGAATTCCTGCCTCGTTGCTGTAGAATTGCGACAATAGTAGGAAACTCAGATTTTAGAAGCAGGGAAGGTTAGGGTTAGACAGATAAGGTGTCAGTGTGAATCAGTCTGTGCCTTGAGTAGAATTCTGAAGTATCTGGCTCCCAGCCCTGTGCTTAGTCAGAGGTCAGCCCCTTTTGTAAGACTTGGATTATGACAATAATTGGCATTTATATATACATATTTTTGCCTTGTAAGATCGATCTCAAGTTCTCTCTCTCTCTTTCCCAAAGATGTAAAGCGGATACTATAAAGCAGAGTAAGTTACTCACCCAAGTGGAATCGGCAGCAAAACTGTTAGGGTTTGCTTACTGCCAGTGCGCCAGCATCCAGTAAAAAATATTTTATCAGCAGTAAAGAATTCCAATGACTGAGTGGAAGAACATTTTGTGTGGAAGAGGAGAATTTGGGTTTGGGGCTCTTTAACTAGCTGAGGAACTTGAAGCCTCCTGAAGAAATTATATGTTGATATTCTCCTCTCAGCTTGCCTTCTGTAATTTGTGTAGCGGTGAGTATTTGATTACGTTGGATTTATTTTCAG